CATTGTACTATTACTACAGAAGTCTCTTCTTCAATGTAAAGTAGCAAAATATTCACTTGCTGCTGTACTAGTGGAATAGTTGCTCTCCTGAAATCATGCTCTGCATTACAGTGTGGGGCTGGAAACTTTTTCTGCCCATTTGTCTTAATCAAAAAAAAAATAAAAAAAAAGCCAGGGGAATTCTTGTGCACTATCATCTTAGTCATCCTGTTCATGTGACACTGAGAGGGGAGAGGAGATCTGTGGCAGAAGAGGGGAAGCAGAAGGTGATCCTCAGTGGGAGGATGGAATGAAAGGCAGTCAAGAACCTGAAAAAATGTGATTTTGTTGGGAGGAGTGACTGGCACACAGTCCTAGCACAATTGGATCCTCTTGGCTCACCTGTGGAATTCTTTATGTGAGGGGGTAGGAAGAGATTATGAGGAGAGCTTTTTCTCATACAGCTGTGCTGCATAAAGCATATCATATAGCAAGGTATTTCACGTTTTTTGCATAGCAGTTCTTAAACATTAAGGGTTTAGTTCAGAGGTGGATCAGACCATGTTTAGAAAAGACTTAGTTTCCTCTTTTCATTTTGTATTTATTTTTTGCAAATTTTTCTGGTTCTTTCTCTGGTCTAATTTCAAATAGAGTTCCAGCACTTTGAGAGGTTAATCAAGGCTAGCTAGCACTTAGTGCAAATGAGTCCTCCCTAATATTTAGCTCAAGTGTTTATCTCCTTCCTGTCATCCTGTGTATCATGGCTGGATTTTAGTGTTCTACCCTCAGCACTTTCCCAAGTGCATGTGTACTTGCATGCATGCTGGGAAGTCTGTGAGGTGCAGATTTCAGGGCTCTGTACCTTCCTGAACTTGTCTGCTGTACTTTGGTTGCTCTGTAGAATGGCTCAGAGCCACAATTCATTGATTTAATTTAGGAAAAGAAATCCAAGTTTCATCTGCTGTGATTCTGGATGTCTTCTGAGCTGCAGTAGTGGTCACTTAAAAGCTGCTGGCACTTGTATCTGCAACTGAATATAAGCATTTCTGTACATGTCCTTACTTTGCCCTTCTTTTTTTCTGAACTACATTCTCACTTAAAGTGTTGAGTGTTTATCTTTATTTTTTGGAACTGATGAATGTCATATCCTTTTTCTCTATCACTGTAAGATGCTGAAAGCGAGCCTGACTTATGAGCCTGTCTTTTACATTCTAAGTATGCCAGTGTTGTCAGGCCAAAATATGTTGTTATAGTCACAAAGGGAAAATAACTTCTAAACACAGCTTTGTTCCTGTTCGTCTTGTATCTTGGCAGGCTAAACAGTGAGGTTGAATATTTTCAGTGTTACATGTAAGATCTAATCAAGGCAAACTCCTCTAAAGGAGTAAAGCAACACAAATACTCCCCCCCCCCCCTTAATTATGGTTAGGAAATTTTTTAAGTAGAAGAAGCCTCAGTGAAGGGAGTGTTTGAAAGAAAGGTTGTGGATGTGGATGTGACTTGGCATCTGCTGAAGTTCAGCCCATGTTGGGTGATAAATGTTGTCTGGAGGCAGAATGACATCCATGTTGCAAAGTAAAAGAGAGAGATGAAGATTGTGTCTATCCCTTTGTACTTCTTGGCTTTATCTTCCCGCTTATCTTGGGCTGTAGCTCTAGTAATCTTTTTCCTCTCCACCCTTAACTTGATGCAGTGAAACTTGCTTAACCTGCCAAAGGAACAACCTGCTGGCTGTAACATGGGCAGGTTGTGACTCTCCTTGAGAACTCTGGAACCTGCTGCTTTGATTTCAGAATTTTTCTTTTCTTCCTTGATGATCACATGCATAGAGCTATCACAGCAGCTGTGATGTTTGGCCTACACAGTAAAAGTCAAAGGTGCAGTGAGGGTATCTTCCTGTTTATAGCTCAATAGCTTAGGCTGCTTCCTTTCAAATGTGCAAAACTAAATCATGAAGGGGGTCACCACATTCCTTGCTGTGGTATGGATTTCTGCTGTGGCTTTTAGGACATGGCAAAAGCACACACGTTGCAGGAATGAGAACTGCAAGCAGTTGGGGCAGCCGCTGGCTGACACCAGACATAGCAAAGCCTCCATCACTGTGGTTCTGTGCCCATGTTAGCAAGCCCTGCCTTATTGGCAAACTTCACACTTCAAGCATAGCTAGACTGCTTTTGGGACTTGCAGAAGCCAGTGTGTTTGCATGCAATAGGTCATGCCAGGCAGAGGTGCTAGGTTGGGCTGGCACTAATCTGGAGGTCCCAAGGGTTTTTCCTGTTGGTGTACTGTGGATGTGCCATTGCTTCCCTCTCAAGTAGGAGCCAGCTCCATCAAAACAAGCAGAGTTCAGCAGGTGGACAAACAGCAGGAGGAAAGAACTTAGCCCTAAGGAAGCTGTTTTGCATAGGTAGCTGCTAAACAGGAGTTGTGCATACTTGTTAATGGTTGGAAAGAGACTTTAAAATAAAATGAGAAGAAAAAGTCCCATGCTCAATGCATAGCAGTTTTCTTATTTGTTTTCAGGATGAATGTGATTTATCTTGACTGATTTTGCTCTCTAGCTATCTGAAAAGTAACTGGCCAAGTAGAGTTAGCTGTGCTTCAGCTGAGCTGCCAGAGGGTTAAGCAGTCAGGCTGTGTGTGAGTGCCTGGGGTGCAGGCACAGACAGGCACAGCAAAAGCCTCTGTCCTTACTATCAAGTAAGGACATAGGAAACTGGAAAGCAGTCTTTACCAAAAAGAAGTAATAAAAACATAGACAAACAATCCAAATTTCCAGGTTTTGCTTTGCTGTGCAGTTGAATATTCTGACTTTTTGTTCCAAGATGCTTTATGAATTTTATCTTCTATCATTGTGGACAGGAACCCCTTGAACAAAGAACTGGTTTCTTCTCCTTTATTCTTGTGTGAATACAGACAACTGCAGCTCAGGCTGCTGCTGTTTTATCACCCATGAAAGAAGCTCTAACTAGCATGAGAAGTTAAATCAGTGTCACAGGGGAAAAAAAAAAAAAACAAGAGTGAAGAAAACAAGGCAGTAGAGTATCTATAGATGCCTTCCCGCAGATTTTGTGAGACAAGGTAGCACTGTGTGGATGAATCAGTTGCTTTGGTGCCTGTGGTGCCAGAGCTACCAGAGGGTCAAGGCCAGGGGAGTGCACAGCACTCTGTATGCTGTGTCAGCACTCTGGGTTTTCTCTGGCTTCTGTCAAACCTGGAGAGAGCCAAATGCTCAAACCTTCAGCATTCCTTCTCCTCTCAAATGGGTGATCAGCAGGGAAAGAGGTCAGACAATTTCAGCATCACTTCCATGATTCCATGTCTAATCTGCTGGGCACATCTGCACATAGATGTGACTGACAGGTGTCACCAGTGTCTGTCCACCAGTTGTGCAACCAGTGAGAGTTACTGGGGATCTGGGGAAACAACAGGATTTTTCCTCATGGACCTGATCCTCCAAGCAGCCCCAGCCTTGATGGATGCTGAAAGCAGGCAGTAGCTGAACAGGCATTTTAATCTTACATTGGTTCTGGTACCTGTGGTGCTTTTGGCTTGAGGCTGTTCCTCCACAACACCCTGCAGTTTGAGACAGGCTATACTTTGAGACAGGGATTTAGATGCCTTATTTTTTTTTAAAGCTTCTGAGCTTAAAAAAAAGCATGATGTGATGAGACAGTCTTCCCAGCAGCTCCAGTGGGGTCTGCTGTGGGTCAGTTTGGTCCAATGTGTTATTTCAAAGCATCATGCCCTTGGCATCCAAAACTAAAACAGATTTTATATCATAACACCAAAGCAGTTATGAGGACGTGCAAGACTTGTCTGGGTTACAACATTCTCTCATGTTAGAACAGGATATTGTGCAGTCATGTTTAATGGCACTGTCCTGAGCTGAGTTGTGGATGTGACTTCTGAAAGATTTGCCCAAGTGCCATTAACATTGTCTCCATTGTGTTTCTTTGAAGTCAGTCATGGACAAATGGCAGCTCCCTCCTGCACTAACATATCTAGCTATTAGGAGCAAAAAATTTCCATTGTATCTAGTAGCATACATTTGATTTTTTTTTTTTTTCAATAGCAATATAAATTTGAAGTGAAGTTAAAGGCCATATCTTTAAAAAAAAATTGAAATTTGAGCTTTGAGTTGTCAGAAAAAAAAGCATGGCAGCAATACCTTCCATCTAACTGAAGGGAACTAGACAACAGTGGCTTCCTCAGGTTGCAAATACAGAAAACCAAGAGGCAAGTGGGTCAGGTAAACAGATATTAATGATACTGCTTCCTGAGTAATTCTGTTCCTTTCCCTTTTCCTGTGTCTTTGTGACAAGAAATAGTTGTTTTCCTGGGAAAGCAGGTTTGTGAACATGCCTTGGCAGTACAGAGTTTTGCAAGCTGTACCTAGTGCACTGTAACAGTGGGACCAGATAATCCTGACTTCAAAGCTGCACTTGAAATTTGATCCTGGGGTCCAACACTGTGTTAAGGATGAGAAGGAAACAAATATATTTAAGAAATGTTGCTCTGGCGTTGGCATATACAGATCTCTTTGAGGTACAGTCTCAAACTCTAGACAGAGAGCCGGTTGAAGATGAGGTGCTTTTTTTGCACTGAGAGAAGTGGATGCTAAGCTGCAGGCTTTTGCTTACTAGACTGCCACAAGACAGGGAGGCTGGGTATGTGGATTGCTGAGCAGGTTTAGGCAGAACCAGGACCTCATGGATGATGGAGAATGGGCACGGTGCTCATGGAAATAGATGTTAGCAGGGCAAGTGTTGTGCTGGGAGTTGGGACATGGGGGAGAGCTTGTGGGCTCCCTGCTGCAGCCCCTCACAGGCCCAGGCACTGCAAAGGGCCTGTGCTGGATCATGCCCCAGCTGTTTTTTAAAAGTTCAGGCCAGTTTATGAGATCTCTGATGGTGTCCTTTAAAGGCAAATCTTAGAAGTGGTGTTGGCATTAAAATTTACATTGGACTTCCTGCCCCAGATTTGCCTGCTGATGGTGTCTTCTTCCTCCTCCTGCTCAGGCACATGAAGATTCATGAGAAGGATCCAAACAGCACAGCAAGCACCACTCCCCCCTCACCGCTGAAGCGCAGGCGATTGTCTTCGAAACGGAAGTTCAGTCACGATGCTGAGCTGGACAGAGAGGAGAGGACACCTGCAAAAAAGGTTCTTTATGGGGCATGAAGCAAAAGATGTTCCTGGTTACCTCCTAAATTGTCAGCTGTTTGGTTTGTGCAGTCAGCACAGACTTGTTGCAGCTCTGTATATGAGTTGCCTTGCTTATCCTATTGTAGCCAACATAGTTGTCTGGTATTGAATATTATTTTCTAATTTCAGAGATTGAAATAATTCAGTTTTTAAAATTCTTTATTGCTTAAATTTTTGAATTTGCTTCTGATTCATAAATAATAATTGTTGGCTGACAACAGGATGTACTATTCTTTGGCTGCTGCTTTCGCCTAGCTTTTTTTTTCCTCCCAAATATTTTGTAGTATTCTTGGGGATGGTGATTTAAACTTAAAAAAAACAATTTTACTTCAAAAGCAGCAGCAGCTTAAGTCTGCTTTTGCCTAGATCTGGAGGGAAAAAAAATCTACAGTACATTTCCCTTTCACGGTAGCATAATCCTACCTTACTGGAGTTGCAAGAGTGACCAGAAAATATTTATTTGAGGGCTAGACGTTTCCATTAGGGCTTTGTTTATAAAATATTTTAACACATCTCAGTCATTTGTACAAAATGTATGGTGTCTGCCAGACTTAACTCTCCACTTACTATCTCTAAATGGCAAGCTAGTAGCAGTTCCATTTTGCACAGTATCCCTCGCTCTGTGCATGCTTTTCTCCCTCTAATCAGAAGAGAAGTATAGAAAACATGCAGAAGTTCATTGCTTCTCCCTGAACCATTTGACTTAGCAGTTGGCAGTATCTCAGTGGCATAAATAATTTAGGCTGACAGCTCCCCTGGCTTTCTGAAGGGGGAGGAATGCTAGTTCAGTGGTATATGAACACATGGGTTTATAAGTTCTTCAAATCACAGTTCCTCATTAGAACTGATATATCTGTGACTCAGCTGCACACTTTATCTTCTACCAAGCCTCCTTTTCTATCATGCATGTTCTTACACATGTGCCAAGGCTCTGGCACTTACCATCTCTCTTAAGGAATGCTTTTGTGTTTGCTTGCAGCAAGGTTACACATGAAGCCTGCAACTTTTTGTAAAAGACTTTGAATGGATTGCAAGTTTGGTTTGTTGCTTATGAGTTGGTCTAGAGAGGTTTTCTTTTTTCTTTTTCTGAAGGTTCTTGAGGATGGCCATTCCGGTGAAGGGGATAAGAGGGCTGACGATGAAGTTTATCATTGTCCAGTGTGTTTCAAAGACTTTTTTTGCAAGTATGGGCTGGAGTCCCACATGGAAACACATCCAGATAATTCATTGAGGTAAGAGATAGTGCCCAGAGTGTCTCTGGTCACCAGACAGCTTGAAGAAGCCTGCTGTGGAGGGGCAAGAGCCCCTCAGCCCCCTGCACTCTTAGCTGCCCTCCTTTGTGATTTTGAGTAGGTTTTTAAATGGTTTGTCTCATCTTGTGTCACCAGGGTGCTGTAGGGCTTAATTTTATTATTTTTTGCAAATACAGGAATCTTGCCAGTTAATAGCTGGAAATGTTTTTAGAAAAAATTAAAGCCCTTCTTCATCCCATTGAAACACATCACTGTTACATAAAACTGTAAAATGCCAACGCTGCAAAATTTTAACAAGATAAACTGAAGATGCTTAAAACTTGATAAAAAAAAATTGATAAAAGTATTGAGGTGTCATCCTATGAGATGATTCTGTGTGGAGAAGGCAGCAGCTGGACAAAATGGGTTTTTCAGTCATTGGAGTGAGTTAAGGTAGATGAGTTTCTGGTTTCAGACTTTCAACAAAATGTTTTATGCTTTTCGGCCTTTTGAGGTTAGGGAATGATGTGGATTTTGGCTTAAATGAGCTTTTCCTAACAAGGAAAAATTATTTATTAATTGTTCAGGAAGGTGCTTGAATGTTGTGTTTTGATTCAAGTAATTGCCTCTGGGACTCCTGAAACTGTTTTATTTCCTTTTTTTTACCACAGAAAAATGTAGAGCCAGATACATCAAGATATAAAAGAAATTTTTCATGTCTAGTTGAAACATGTAGAAAGGAGATTGTCTGTTTTCAGAAGCTTGTCAATATTTTAAACTTATTTTGGGACATTTGACTCTAATGATCTTTTTGAATGGGTGAAGAATTCAGCATCTTGAAATATCAACACTCACTTCTGGATACAGGTTCTTAATAGAATGACATGGAGCAGAGGCATCCCATTCTATTAAATTGGATTAATTTTATTAAATTTTCCCTCTCCTAAATTTTTGTTTAGAAAGCCTTTGTAAATACATGTAAAATACTTTTTAAAGGCATTGTTAATGTTGCAGTTACTGGGGAGAAGAGTTGAAAGCTTGGTCCATTCAATAGTAGTTAATTAAACATACTTTGCTGTTTCTGAAGTAAATTAGGGAAATTTTCATTATAGATCAAAGCTGAAGCAGTTGTTTTCCAGTAAGAGCTCTGTAACCCCTACAAAATGGAGTCTTGAACAATTTTGCCTTACACTTCATGCTTTAGAGAAAGCAGCTGACATATTAGGTCATTACCCTCATTTTGAAACTTCTCTGAAGATAGGACCTCTTTGCAAAGTTATACTCCATGGACCTGAATGGAGAGGTGGATTTTCTTGCTTTGATAAGATAATGGAATAGATATCCTTCTAGCTTTACAGCTTTGCAGTCTGCTGTGGCAAGGCAGAAGGACACAGTGGCTGTGCAGACATGCTGTTCCTCTTTATGCAGCTCTTGCTCTGGCATTAGACTTGCTTTGGGATAATATTCTCCTGAAATGGATTTTACTACCCTTGATTCTGCTGAGCAGCAAAGACTAGAACATGTCCCTAAATCAAAGTCGCAGTTGTCAAGCTCTATGGGTATGGTTTAAGAGTAGTGCTGGGATGCTTATCTTTATAGAATTGTCTAGGTGATAGTAAGGGATTTTGTCAGGTATTTGCCTTAGCCATTTAAGACGTGTCAGTGAAGACAGGACAAGGAAGTTGTGGTCCTTTCTGGGCAGCTAATACATTAAGGTGCAACTTAGCCTGCCCATCTGGTTTAAACCACACCTTTTGTCCTAGTCTAGACAAGTCAAATGACACTTTCTGCCTGGCCCAGCCTGACAGAAAATCCTCTAGTAAGCAGAGCAGTTTGGACTGCTGTTAAGGTGACTCTTTCATCGAAAACAAAATGGGTTAAAATCCTTGGCCAGCAGGGGCTGTAATCCCCTGGTTCCCAGGGTTCTGCAATACTGTTTATAGGATTCAGCAAGACACAGAGAAAGTAGCATGCCTTTCTCAGTCCTGAGTACAAGTGATTGAAGTCCTTTTGGTGAGGCTTAAGGGTGTTTTTTTGAGTGAAAGAGCCGAAGAAATGAGAATATTTTGCTAGAGTAGTAGACCAGGAGACCTGTGTATACGGGTGTACTTGTGTCAGGGAAGCAAACTGCTGAATGTTAGAAGGCTTTCATCAAATCCTGTTGTTGCCTTATTATAGAAGACAAGGGGAAGTAACTCTTGTTAAAAGTTCAAACAAGTGAAAAAGCACAGTAACTGTGTTGTGAGCAAAGGGCAGGGAGTCTAACACCCCCAGTCTCCTTTTATTGCCCATATTGTAAAAGCAGAGTCACTTGATGAGGACCTGTGAGGAAGGATGTGTATGCCAGAGCCAGATACTCTGGGTCTGGTGGTTTGTTTGGAACTACTGCAGTAGGCAGTAGCCCAGGACAGACTATTTTGTCATGACCAAAAATAAGTGATGCTCAATCTGCCTAGCCAATGCCTTTCGTTGTAAAGGCACAGGTCAAACATCCCATTCCTTTTTGCTCCCCCAGCTCCTATATAAAGGATTGCAAACTGGCTCTGAGGCAGTGCACCAGTGTGCACTGTCTTGATGGTGGCACCAGCCTCCCTGCAGAGATGCATCCGTGGCCGAGGCAAGGTGCCAGGATGGGCAGGAACTTCTGCCTGGCTTCTCTGTGGTTCTTTAATCCCACTATTTCAGTGGTGCTGTGCAAATACAGCCTCTTGCCCCCAGAGCTGTCTGAGTCTGTCTGTCCCCACCACCGTCTGCTAAGCAGCAGAAAAGGTAAGGCTGTCTAGCAGCCCTGGGATTAGTATGTGAGCAGCTAATTTACAGGGTGGGCCATCACCCTTCCAGATACTGTCAAATGAACAACTTTAAATCACAGGGTTAGCTGTTCAAAGTCAGATGAAAAGACACTCCCCATTGTCTTGCCCAAAAATGCTTTTTCATGTAAAACCCAGAGCAGTGAGCACCTCATTGTTTACTTGCAGCAGAATAAACAATTCTTAATCCACTGATTGTGTGAGAGGGGCTCCTGCTTGGGAGGGTATCTCTTGATTATGTAAAATCCTAAATCGTGCATCTTTGTCTCCTAATTACGGTAGGAACTGCCCTGGTCTTGAGAGTAATAATAGGGCCCTTTGTCCCATTGACAATGGGCTGTGGCACTGCATCTCCTTCATGGCATTACACCCCCTGGTCAATCTCTGTCCCTTTGAAGCCCCGTGCCCTGCACCCTAATTAAAGACATGAGCTGGCCCCCGGCAAGGTTGTCTGCAATGCCCATTAGCAGTGGGAGGTGGCCCAGGAGTGCTTTCTGACCCCCTTGGCCTCTCTACCTGTATTATTTAAAGAAGTCTGCTTCCCTGCAGCTGGGGCCGCAGGACACTGTCTATTTTGGTGAGTTTGTGTCTGAGTGTTGATATAATTAGCAGAGAGCTGAAACGCTGCACAGCCGATAGGGAAAATGAGAAACCTCACAGAGCAGGGGAGTTTCTCTGGAAACTTTAGTGGCTCAGAGTTGCTGTCAGACGTGAAACTGTGCTTGTAAAGGTCACCTGACAGCTCTGAGCAACGTCAGCAGTGTAAGCAGAGATGTGAGGATTTCCCGGGGAGAAACCTCTCCAGATGCTATGCTGGGTTTCTCCTCTTTCTTTTGGCAAATACAATGGAACACGCTTAAAGTAAAATGTGTGGCTTTTTTTAAAAAGTACATGAACTATATATAAATTCCTCTCTTGGATTTCACTGTAGCCAGAGCATACCCTTTTTATTTCCTCTCCTTCTCCTCCAGGAGGTTTAGTGCAGTATGCTGTACCAAGAGCTAAAGTATTTTTAATTTTTCCTTCCTCACAGCAGCAAAGAGACAATTATGCTGCTCTCATGCCTAGGTATCTTCCTGAGGAGAGGAGGAGGGAGCTGGTTATGGTGTCGCAGTTACCTCCTTTCTTATACTCATTCCAATATCATTTCTCAGCCAGGATAGTTTTGCAGTTTGAATGTGGTAAAAGGTTGCTTCTTAATGAATATCATGAGGCTTTCTGATCACAGCTGGTTCAGTATGGCATTGCCTCCAGTTACAAGATTTGGTTTTGCTATATTTTTGTAAGATACAAGAAATAAGACATTGCAGTGTGAAAGTTACTCTCTGCCTGTGTCACACAGCTGACCTGGTGACCAGAACCAGTTACCATGAATGGATTCAGGGGAGATTAAGTTTTTGACCTTCTACAGAGCCTGTCCAAACAGTGACTTAATATATTAAGCTTTGTAACTTGAAAATCCTGGCCATATTTTCACAAGGACAACAAAAGCAGTTCTCTTCCCCCAGGGTTATGTGCTTCTGTAAAACCTCCATCAAAGGACACCAAAAGCTGTTTACAGCCTACCTTGTTCTTCAAAACAGCCTGCCCAGGTTTTGCTGAAATTGTATAGAGGTTGAACACTGCCATGGAAAGCTATTGTTTTGAACATCTCCCAGGTCTGTAACAGGCACAGCAACAGAAGAACTCAGACCCTGGAAAGAAAAGTGTTAGGAGTCTGACCATTAGGATCTGTGGTCATCTGCCTCTGGTTTTGCCAGGGTAACCACTGTGAGGTCTTGTTTTTGAAAACACCTGTGGGTGAAAAATGCTGTTGTTGTTTCTTGGTGTTACCTGGCTTCACCAATATGGAGTAGACAAATGCCATAGGAATGGTCTTCTGGACTCTGTGGGTAAATGGAAGATAGCTGTTATGTGCAGTTTGCAATTCAGGCAGGCAGGTCACCAGGTTTCCCCCTTTGCCAGCACATCCACATTCTTCAGAGTGTGGTGGGATGCTGCCAGGCACCTGGACCTATGTCTTTATTCATTTTAGACAATGTGCATGAGCACCTCCATTTAAGTCAAGGCAAGAGGAAGTGGGTTTTGGGTGAAAAAGATACCAGCTACTTAGAATATGGTATGTTTATTGCCCAGTTACCATTCTTCAAGGCAGTTCTGCACCCTGGCTTTAGGGAGATAAAATAAGAA